TTGAAGCAAAAGTCAGGGATAGCTGGAGGTAGATCAGGATCGTCGAGCCAATGCGTCGTTGCCGCAACGGGTCGATCTTCAACTTTGGCATAAGGTTTGCCAGTTCGGTAGTCATGCCTCCTGGACGTACTGGACTTGCGGTGCCCCCCTTCGTAACCGTCAGCATGTGGTTGCGCCCGCAAATCCTCTTCTAACCTGATAAAGGCTAAGGTCATGGCCTGGACGTCTTCAAATGTGCGACAAGGAAACTTTGTCAATTCCCTGTACAACTCAGAATCATTCTCCAATCCCCTCCGGAATGCTTCGATTGCTGTAGGTATGTCACACCTTGAGATTGATACCTTTTCCTTGTTGAAACGATGAAGGTAGTCTCTCAAAGACTCGTCTCGCTGTTGGATAACCCGGTATAGGTCACTCGTTTGCTTCTCCAGGGTGCGGCTGCTTGCAAATTGTTGTGTGAACGAGTCGACCAGTTCTGCGAACGAGTTGATCCCTTCGTTTGGTAGGTTGACGAACTAGGTCAAGGCTGGTCCTGAGAGCGTCGTTCCGAACCCACGACACATACATGCCTCTCTTTGGTCCGGGTTGAGCACTACGGCTAACATGCGCTGTTTAAATTGAGCGACGTGTTCTACTGGGTCTGACGTCCCATCAAACATCTTCATGGCGGGGGCGACGGACTTCCTGGGTATCTCGACGTTGGTGATCCTCCTACTGAAAGGTGACTCTGCGTAACATGTCCTGGATGCTCTATCCAAAGGCGGGGGAACACCTGGTAATCCATTGATTTTGTCCTGCATCTGACGCATTTGCTCCATCAACATGGACATCTGATCTGCCACAACTGGATGAAGCGGAATCGGGAATGAAGGAGTCGGTCCAGCCAACGGGGTGAATTCACAGCGTTGTTCAGGAAACGTCGGTGCTGGCAATACGTCGGGTCGGTCGAGGCGTCGCGTCTGGGGTTCTGAAAATGACACACTATGCCCACTGCGTCTGGCGTCCTGCATGAAACTTGATGAGCCGACCTCTGCGCCATTCCTGTTCCTGTAAAGAGGGATTGACGGCTCCGTTGGGGGAAGAGTCACAACAGTGGACGGATTGGAGTTGGATGGACCGAGATCTCCACTGGTTCTACTCCTGTAATGGGGGATCGACGGTTCCGTCGGGATGGAATGCGGAGTTCTCGCCGGCATGCTTTGAGTTGCTGCCCGCAAGCCTGACCCGTTCGATCTGACCCGAAGGGTTTCCGGAAAGAAACAAACTGGTATGTTGGCCGGTGGCGTCGTCTCTAGCACGAGTGGCGTATATGGGATGACCTGCGAGATGACGGGTGAGTGTGGCTCTCCAGCTGGCGTTGTCGACAGGCCCAGCGTAAGTGATACTTGATCCGTCGACATTGCGGATAGATTCGTCGATGGTGGGGAGACGCCAAGATCCAACCTCGTTGCAGCGTTCATAAGGTCAGTCCTCCGATTGGGCCTTGAATTCGAGGCTATCGACACTGCAGACCGTACCTGGGACCGAAGTACATCGTTCTCCCGTTGAAGAAGGGCCATCCTTTCCGCCATCTCGCGCCGGAGCTCTTCTCGGACCGTCTCTAATTGTTCATGGAATTCAATTAGCAATTGATTCGTTCCTTCCATATTTGAATTCTTTCTTGCACGAGGCCCCACGGTGGGCGCCAAATTGTTTAAGCAAAGAATTGGTTCTTCGGAACAATTAATTGAATATGGGGATTCGCACAAGAAACTATATATGAACGAATGAGTTTTGCTATAGAGATTAATGAATAAAAATAAGATTGCTCAATAACTTGGAAGCTTGTGTGAGTAGTATCGATAATAAGACTTGAGTTTTTGTTTACATCGTATTCTCCTTAAATAAAGCCTCTCTTCCTATCTTCCAGCCAACTACCCGCCTAAGTAGCCGGCCGTACATTTGAACGTGCGCAGTCCCTTTCTTTCTCCCCAAGTTCACTTGATCTTATCCATTTAGGTAGCAACGGGTTGCTTACTCCTTCCTGCCAAGTTGGACCCTCGTTTCCCTTATTGCAAGATGGGCCAATCACCCTTTAACTTCCGCGGCCCAACATATACATTACCAAGGCCACGGAGAACATGTGATGAATGACTAAGGCCGGGTATAGTTGCTTCAAATGTTAGTTCCTCCGTCCAAAAATGAACCGACAACGAAGTTAGAATCATGCGCATGGAGAGTTAAATCGATTTTAATAATTAAAATTTACATGTTTAGAAACTAAATTAAAATTTTAAAAAGTCGCCAAATTCAAAATAGAATACGGTAAAAAATGATATGCTAAATAAGTAGATAAAGTGGTAGATAAAGTGAAATTGTGCGACAAAAAAAGTTGACTAGACAAATCATTTTGGGTAAGAGACCTATGATGGTGTTTCCTGGTAAAGTTGTATTAGCCTATTAGGAGATATGTGGCTCTATACAATGCTCACATATGATTGATGTATTTACTTGGATTAATTCCGTAAATTGAGTGATTATTATGTGACTACCGGATTAATCGGGTGGATTATGTGGGTGGATTGTGTGATTAGCAGATGAACACAAATAAAATAATCCTCCCTCCGTTCTTTATCAATGGTCTTTTTAGGCTTGTGCACGAATTTTAAAAGAAAAAATAGTATGAATAATATAGAGTGTGTATGGTAAACATATTCACTCTTCTTAATATATTCTCTTCTTAATTTAAAAACCCAAAAATGGAGTCGTAAGACCTATTACAGTGGATCTATAAATGTGAAGATATGTAAACATAAATTTATTTACAAAACTTAATAACTAAAACGAAATTATGATCTAATAAGATCCATTACATTGGATTACATTTTAATACTAAATGAGGTATTTAACTAAAGCATATTTTAACTTTCTTTTAAACAATTAAGAATGCTATTTGAGAGTTTATATTAAAAATTAAAAAAATTTCTAAAATATAATCAAACGAGATTTGATGAAATTATATATAGTGAGAAAATTCATAGTAACAATCATTTGGACTAAAATTTCCTACAATTATATTCATAGTAACAAATGTAGGTATGTACATACTTACCTACCTACTTATTTACTTACCTAGATACCGACATACCTACTTACTTAACTACCTACCTATTTGTCTGTTGTCTTACCTATATCCTTGCCTCTCTGCTTGCTTGCTTAATTACTTACACACAATGGATGAGTGGATCGGGTGTTGAGTTAGATGAATGTTCATTCAGATCCATCATTCAATTATCATCCATAGCTTTTTGAATTTGTTTCACAAGTTGTAGTCGTACTTGTTCATAACTCATAAGTGGTTTAATCCTCCTAAGTGAGGCCCTTCTTTGTTCCAAAGTATAAGAGTTCTATTATATTTGACTGTATTAATACATTGAGGTGCAATGCTTCGCGATTAGAGATTCCTTATAAGTTCCCAATGTTTAATACTCAAAATTTGTTGAGCTTTGTGATCATTTGCCAAACCCTTCAGGCGTTTTATAGCTTCGGTTGATTCTTTGTGTCCGTGAAATAAAGGAAACTCCATAGAATATTAAAGGTTGAAATAAAAGATATCGAAAGCTTGATGATATAGATATATTAGAGATCGATATTTGTTGTGTCTAAGTCTCTAACATTACTTAATCTGTTGCTCGGACGTTGTTCTTAGCCAGATTTAATGCTTTGCCTCCATTGCTTCGCATGTGTTGATGATAAGTAATTTGCTCATTTATTCTCACTTATCTGTTCTCCTTGTAATTACTTGAATTTCATTTTCTTAATTTTAAATATCTAGATACATAAATATAGTTATAATATAATGTTTCATAACAATTTGTTCCTTTCTAATGATGTTCAACCATAAATAAGTTTCACACATTATATGGGTGAACGAAACATTGATGGTCAAAAGATAAAAAATGCTACGTACTATGTAGTAATTAAGAACTTTTCTAAGTAAAGTACCAATCAATAAAACTACTACATATTCGATCAAATTGAGGTCATAATTTAGTAGAGCTGTAGAGATCATAAGCAAATGAAATATTCATATACTCGTTACGTAAATAGTTGTATAGAATACTCTTGCAGTAGTAATTCATTGACTTCATTTACATCAATTTTCTTCTGTCTTCCTGGAGGGATGTCAAAACTCTATCATTTATATATACATGGGATTTTGTAGAGAATTGGATCCTTTTTTGCTCTTTTTCCTTATAAATGTCAAAACTCTATCATTTATCTTCCTTAAATAATTATGTGCTTAGGTGCTATCATTTTAAGACACACACAATATGTCCTTTTTCAGTCATTTAGTTTTCGTCATTCTCGAAACTGAGTCAATGTCTCAAGGAACACATTGGTTCTAAATTATGGTTAAGTACCAATTATGTTCTTGCGAGAATGCGTTTTCAATCCATTACTTAACAGTCATATGCCCTCCGTCGAAATTCCGTCAAAATGAAGGTGATCTGTCACTTTTTTTTTGAACAGGACCTGTCACTTTTTATACATCCAGATCGCCTTTTTTTACGCCGTTGAGATGAAAACTATGCAAACATCTAGGACATATCTAACTTTTGAAAAAAATGAGTCTCATGCTACATTTGAAAATGAGCACAACCACAAATATCTTTTTGTATTTATCCATATTATTTAATACCATTTGTGGGGATGTTTGGTAATCCTCACTTTCAGCATTGCAGTTTTATCAATCATTTTTTTACAAAATACATAATTTTTTATGCCATTATTTTTATCAAAACAATTGAGATTTGAGTTAATTTTATGGTTGAACTGACTAAAAATGCTATAGAAAATCATTGTAATTGTTTTCAATTTTTTGATTTTATTTATAAAACATATTTTAAATGCAATTTTTTTTCATAATTGAGCAGATTTAGTTGGTCAATTAGTTAGGTGGATTTCAGATTTACGGATTTACCCAACAGTCCTAACACTCCATCTGTACGAAACGGCTAGACAATTAGCAAAACGCGGCTTAGAATACTTAAGCACTCTTTTCTCTTAAAAATATGTCATCCCTGATCACGAAGGCATTTTCTGTCCGCGGCCCCCGAGTCAACCCAGTGTCAACTCGCTTGCATCTCATCACAATCCCGGCACTGGTAATTTTGTCTGTTCGGCTTTCTGTTGGATTAACTATTCTTCTCGAGTGGCTTCTTAGTGATCTAGGGCTGCCGGATTGCAATATACACTGCTTTAGTTTAATGGATTTGAACGAAACATCTTGGCTATATTTTTTCTTGTAGGTGGAATTGAATCGCGCAAGAGATGAGTGACGTGTTTGAAGGTTACGAGAGACAGTACTGTGAGCTGTCCGTCAATTTGTCTAAGAAATGCAATTCTGCTTCATTTCTTCCCGTTGGAGGTATAAATTCTATTTGATATGTGATTAGCTTCTGAAGATTTCTCCCATTTCAGTTTGTTCCGGGTGTTTAGGATTAATTGTTCTTCATACGGAATGAGTTTTCCATAAGCTAGCACCCTAGCTTCTAGCAAACTGATTTTTTAATCCTCAGGAACCCTTTTAAATTAATTTTTGAAACACTCGGATTCTGCTTCTAAGAGATCTTTGAAGGAGCAAAAGCACAACATGTTAAAAAAAGAAGTTCCTTCTGCTATATATTTACAAATTCAATGAGATTACATTTTGTATCTTGTATAACTTTTAAAGCATTTCTTCAGGCAATAATCTTTCAATCTATAATGGCAGGAACATTCACAATTCACACATTATTGATCTAGTTTATAGTATATCAGTTTTTTTAACCATCCTTTTGTGGATTATTACTATTTTTTCCATTGTCATAAGAAGATCCAAAGAAGCAACATATATCTTAGCTCACAGTGGGGTTGGACGAAGCGGATGGTCTGGTAACTACCATTCTAATCTCTAGTGTTGCTATGCAAAGTTCTATCATGGTTTAACTCATTGAGGCAAACATGCATTTCCTCAGATTCGAAAAATGGACCTTGAGGCAAGAAGTTTGCAACCAAGTCTAAAAGCTGCTCTTCTTGCTAAGCTAAGGGAATATAAATCCGACCTCAACAAGTTGAAAAGGGAAGTGAAAAAGCTAACATCTAGCAGTTTCGATCAAACAGCCCATGAAGTATTGCTGGAGTCTGACGTCGCAGATGTACATGCAGTATGCAAATTTGTTCTTAATTGTACTTTTCTTTTCTCCAATCCTTTAAGGTCTGTTTATGACTCAGAAAATACAACGGAAGAAAATAGGAATGAAGTTATGGAGGAAAATTTGAAACTAACATGATGCCGGGGAATCTGGGAAAGTAAACGATAGGCTAAAGCTCAACTAATATGTTTAGATATATCTTATACTCATTTTTTTTAATTTGTCTGTTATATAAAGACGAAGCAATATAAGAAACTATTCGTGTTGTCTTTTCCTGTGCATTTTCCAAGGAAGAATCACACATATGAGCATAACTTTCTTCAACATTTTTTTCCCCAAGTGTTTTTCCTGGGTGTGAGCATAACCTAAAGGGTCTGTTTGAATAGGGAAAGAAATTTGGTAGGCAAGTATAGGATGAATTTGGAAAGAATGTAAAATTGTAAGGCTAAATGATCAAATAGGCCCTTGAACTGACTTAAAGTGTTCAATTAGCCCCTTATATAGGAGGTTCTGCCCGACCGTCGCCAATTGGGGAGGTTCCCGGTGGAATTCTTTGATGAAATTTTTTGAGCATCTTCTTCATAAAGTCTAGTTTACTCATACCAAATTTCAGCTAAAAATCAATCAGGAAGGCAGTCAAATGATTTTTTGAAGATAACTGCGAAGTTAAACAGCGCAATACATTTTGGAAAATCATTTGACTGCCTTCCCGGTTCACTTTTTAGCTGAAATTTGGTATGGGTAAACTAGACTTAATGAAGAAGATGCTCAAAAAATTTCATCAAAAAATTCCACCGGGAACCGCCCCAATTAGCGACGGCCGGGCAGAACCTCTTATATAAGGGGCTAATTGAACACTTTAAGTCAGTTCAAGGGCCTATTTGATCATTTAGCCTTACAATTTTACATTCTTTCCAAATTCATCCTATATTTGCCTACCAAATTTCTTTCCCTATTCAAACAGACCCTTTAGGTTATGCTCACACCCAGGAAAAACACTGGGGAAAAAAATGTTGAAGAAAGTTATGCTCATATGTGTGATTCTTCCTTGGAAAATGCACAGGAAGTTAAAGGAACAAGCTTCAGTCAGTAGCACCACTCAAGAGAATAGGTAGCAACAACTTATCCACTTTTAACACATAAGTACACATCAACACACTTAGACACTATGCACACATTTTGAGAGTTCACTGGGTTTTGCAATAAGGTAAAAATGTGCTGACAATCTCACAACATTAAGCAGCAATAAATTTGGACAGTTTCTGATTTCGCCATCTTACACAGTTACACACCTACTATGCTAGAGCATCAGCCAAATAACTTCATTCTTTTAATGTTGGACGGTATCATTGAGTTATAAATTTCTGATTTCCATAACTATTAGTCTATTAACTACCATTCCCACTCCCCGAAAACACTGACCTTTTCCAAAGTTGGTCGAAGGCCTGGTGAGAGCAAAGAGTATGCATACCGGTTTTTTGGGTTTGGAATTTTAGATTAAGATTGGAATTAATTTGTTGGTCTAGGAAACAAATATCCCAATTGAAAGTTTGAAAAAGAAACTGCTCTAAATAGGAGTAAACATAAATAATGTTAAAAAACATGACTAATTGTGTATTATTCCGTAAATAGGACTTGGGATGTTTTTACTTGGACTGGTTTCAGTCTCAGACCAGACCATATTTAAACATACCAGACTTCCATAGTTATAAATTACACAGAGACCAAACATGTACGAGAGACCAGACCTGTTCAGACCAAACCAACAAATTTCAGTACAAGTAAAAACATCTTTATTTAGTCTTGTTAAAAGAATTAAACAATAAAAAAATCAGAAAATATGATTGAATGAATCCTATTGAAATGAGTTGCGCTTTACTCCTATTTAGGAAATTCTCCGTTCATTTTGGATCGGATTGCGGAACTAGAACCAAAATAACCATAAAGTAGTTCGGTTTTGGTTCGTAATTAAGTTTTGTTCTATCAAATTCAGCTCCATGCAAAACGCTCGTAATTTTTAACGTCAATAGCTAACAAAACAAGTGAAATAACAATACTGGAAAACATACTACTCGGGGTATATAAAATGGATGCAAAGGCAACATTGGCAAACATATAATCTTTCTTTTGCAGATGTGAAATGTCAAGACCTAATACCATTACAGTAATTATAAAAAAAGTCTAATACACGACCACCGGAAACAAGTAAAGATTTGGATGCAGATTTTGAATAGGCTCTACTGGAAAACAAAAAGGACCGACACCTTTCTCATCACCCGATGTGTAGTACACAGTGCTCCCTCTTCTTCACTTGTTTAACCGCAAGTTAAAAGCTTCGTACACACAACACGGCAACACTGCTTGGTACATTACCCAATACGATGGAACAGGTGAATGAGCTCACAGTCCACCAGACCCTACCCAGTACATCATAGATTATAGGAGATTAGTGGCCCTTTATTGGGGGCAGCTGCCCCCCATCATGTAGCTGTAGATCCACCCCTCTGCACCTCTCACTCTCACTTTAATTTCACCTCCCTGCACCAAGGTATTTGATTGCTCAGATTCCAAAGGGTAGAGAAATAGAGAAGAGGGGAAGAGAAAATGTCTAAGGGGCCAGAGACAGAGAAGAAGCCAAGCTCAAACCCGAACCCAAGCGTGAATGCGGGAAGTTACGTCCACGTTAAAGTCAAAACACAGGTTTTCTGTTCTCTCTCATCCCTTTGCTCCTTTATATATAGCATCTTTCTGTATTTGCTTCTTGTATTTGCGAGAACTGTATGCCTCTGGAATTCCTTGCACTACACAGCTTTCCCAAAACCCGTTCTATCCCACGGTTTTGTATCGTTTATTACTATCTCACTGTTAAAACGAAGTATTATCGACTATGTTAGTTTTTAATGAATGAGATAACATGAAAATATTTTTAAAATTTTGTAACAAGTGTACTTCTATTCATATTTATTTTTAGAAAAATGTATGTGATATATCTGAACATTTAATCAAGAAAGTAAATAATTTCAAAATTATTTTAGAAATTTACAAACCAAATATTAAATGACACTATAGACGTGAATATGATTACAACTTATTTTAAAATATAATGTGTATTTTTAAAATGTTTACTAAGTTTTAACATTATTGTGTATTTTAACCTTTATTTTAATTTTATACTTATATCATTTTTACAACTTTTTTTTAAAAGCTTTATTAATAATGAAAGAAGTTACAAGAAAATAATAAAAATGCAAAATGAAAATAAAAGAAAAGACAAACTAATATCAAGTACTACTTAGGGTTAGTTTGCAACTGCTTTTAAAAAAGCACTTCTTAGCTTTTAGCTTTAAAAAAGCACTTATTTTCCCAAACACTACAACTTTTATTTTTGGGAAAATTAAAGTTTGCAACTGTTGTAGTCATATTCACGTCTATAGTGTCATTTAATATTTGGTTTGTAAATTTCTAAAATAATTTTGAAATTATTTACTTTCTTGATTAAATGTTCAGATATATCACATACATTTTTCTAAAAATAAATATGAATAGAAGTACACTTGTTACAATATTTTAAAAATATTTTAATGTTATCTCATTCATTAAAAACTAACATAGTCGATAATACTACGTTTTAACGGTGAGATAGTAATAAACGATAGAAAACCGTGGGTTAGAACGGGTTTTGGAAAGCTGTGTAGTGCAAGGAATTCCAGAGGCATATTGTTCTCGCAAATACAAGAAGCAAATACAGAAAGATGCTATATATAAAGGAGCAAAGGGATGAGAGAGAACAGAAAACCTGTGTTTTGACTTTAACGTGGACGTAACTTCCCGCATTCACGCTTGGGTTCGGGTTTGAGCTTGGCTTCTTCTCTGTCTCTGGCCCCTTAGACATTTTCTCTTCCCCTCTTCTCTATTTCTCTACCCTTTGGAATCTGAGCAATCAAATACCTTGGTGCAGGGAGGTGAAATTAAAGTGAGAGTGAGAGGTGCAGAGGGGCGGATCTACAGCTACATGATGGGGGGCAGCTGCCCCCAATAAAGGGCCACTAATCTCCTATAATCTATGATGTACTGGGTAGGGTCTGGTGGACTGTGAGCTCATTCACCTGTTCCATCGTATTGGGTAATGTACCAAGCAGTGTTGCCGTGTTGTGTGTACGAAGCTTTTAACTTGCGGTTAAACAAGTGAAGAAGAGGGAGCACTGTGTATTACACATCGGGTGATGAGAAAGGTGTCGGTCCTTTTTGTTTTCCAGTAGAGCCTATTCAAAATCTGCATCCAAATCTTTACTTGTTTCCGGTGGTCGTGTATTAGACTTTTTTTTATAATTACTGTAATGGTATTAGGTCTTGACATTTCACATCTGCAAAAGAAAGATTATATGTTTGCCAATGTTGCCTTTGCATCCATTTTATATACCCCGAGTAGTATGTTTTCCAGTATTGTTATTTCACTTGTTTTGTTAGCTATTGACGTTAAAAATTACGAGCGTTTTGCATGGAGCTGAATTTGATAGAACAAAACTTAATTACGAACCAAAACCGAACTACTTTATGGTTATTTTGGTTCTAGTTCCGCAATCCGATCCAAAATGAACGGAGAATTTCCTAAATAGGAGTAAAGCGCAACTCATTTCAATAGGATTCATTCAATCATATTTTCTGATTTTTTTATTGTTTAATTCTTTTAACAAGACTAAATAAAGATGTTTTTACTTGTACTGAAATTTGTTGGTTTGGTCTGAACAGGTCTGGTCTCTCGTACATGTTTGGTCTCTGTGTAATTTATAACTATGGAAGTCTGGTATGTTTAAATATGGTCTGGTCTGAGACTGAAACCAGTCCAAGTAAAAACATCCCAAGTCCTATTTACGGAATAATACACAATTAGTCATGTTTTTTAACATTATTTATGTTTACTCCTATTTAGAGCAGTTTCTTTTTCAAACTTTCAATTGGGATATTTGTTTCCTAGACCAACAAATTAATTCCAATCTTAATCTAAAATTCCAAACCCAAAAAACCGGTATGCATACTCTTTGCTCTCACCAGGCCTTCGACCAACTTTGGAAAAGGTCAGTGTTTTCGGGGAGTGGGAATGGTAGTTAATAGACTAATAGTTATGGAAATCAGAAATTTATAACTCAATGATACCGTCCAACATTAAAAGAATGAAGTTATTTGGCTGATGCTCTAGCATAGTAGGTGTGTAACTGTGTAAGATGGCGAAATCAGAAACTGTCCAAATTTATTGCTGCTTAATGTTGTGAGATTGTCAGCACATTTTTACCTTATTGCAAAACCCAGTGAACTCTCAAAATGTGTGCATAGTGTCTAAGTGTGTTGATATGTACTTATGTGTTAAAAGTGGATAAGTTGTTGCTACCTATTCTCTTGAGTGGTGCTACTGACTGAAGCTTGTTCCTTTAACTGCTCTTAGCATGTGACTGAAGGTCTGAACTCTATTTTCTGCTAGGTTCCCTTGTGATATATGTGCCATGAAGTTCTTGGAGTACACTCCGCTTGATCAGTAAGTCCTGAAGTGTCATTGTTGAAACGCAAAATCTGTTTAAAGATTTCAATTTTAATGTTTGTTGTTTGCCTCACTCGGCGTTCTGATTATTTTGTCTACCTATCTAGTCTTCCTCCTCCTCATCCATTTCCTTTTTCTATTTAAATTTAGATTAACTTAATTTGAAGTCCTTTTAACGGGTAAACACTCTGTTTACACTTTCAGTATAAGTGAATTTTTGAGTCATGTGAATCTAGGAGAACACACTGTTAAATGCTCTCTTGAAGCCTACTCTTGTAAGTATGGTTATTCACTTATTCTTTTTTAAAGCAAACTATATAGTTATGTTTTGGCTGTCTAATGGTTGAAAGTTGTTTTTCCATGTATTTTCAAGGCAAACACACTGGAACGGATAAGAAGTTGTCTTTCAGTTTGGAAAATGAGGTGATATTTATTGACAACTTATTCTTTTAGTTGTTTCCCTTATTCCCTACAGTCAATTTTTTCCTCTTTGATGAATTTTGATTGAATACACTAATGTGTGCATGTGTGCTGTCCGTTCCATCCTTAGATTTCTTGCTTCCTATATGATCTCAGCTAGTCCATGCTACCAAAGAAGAACTGTCTTGCATGCGGTGACATGTCATATGTCTTAGTGTCCAACTGTCCAATTTCTATATTTGACCTTCTCTTTTGCTCTAAACAGACTTTTTTTTTATTGAATAGTAGCTTTTATGTAGGAAGTTTCCTATAAATTATTTGACTAGAAATTAATTCTGGGTATATTATACCCATTGCATTTGTAGGTGTTCTAAAAGTAGCCTTCCAATGGATAATTACCCATTGGCAGTGTAATGATTTTGTATGAATAAAAATTTGGCACTCTATTATGGTCCTATCTCAGATTCTTGATTACCTCGGAAAGTCATCTGACACCGACTCATCTTCACCGGTTGATTATCTATGTTGTAGATCCAGGTGGTGAATCTGAACTAATTGGCTGGCCTAATAATTGTGTAGCTATTTAAATGGGTCATAATTATTTGTGAAATTTGTATTCCAGCCGAAAGACATTGATTTATCTGCTCCTTACACTGAATCACATATATCCAGATCATGACTTCAGGTAACTCTGTAGATTAGTTTTTTGACATGAGCTGAGAAGTAGGATTATGGGTAATGCCACTGTCAGCTTTTTGGGCGATATTGCATCCGGTTATAATCCTATCTTACAGCTTTGTGGGAGTGTTGTCAAAAGGTTTGACAGGCAGTTTAGATGACTGTTGCTCTAGGTGGAGCTGAGAGTTCAAGTCTCTCCATTTCCCAAAACTAAAATCCGTCCACTTGGCTGTACTGATTACTGTGTGATGTTTTTTTGGTGATGCCACAATGTTCCAACTTTCTGGTTTACCAGTGCAGTGAATGCTCACCAATTTTTTTCTGAAGAAAACTGGGATAGTTTTAAGCAGGCATTTGATACTTACATGTTTGAGGCATCCAAGGTAGTTTTAATATTATGGTTCTTCCAATGAACTTATTTGGTTAATGATATAATGTGGTAGCAGATTGAGTTGCTTGTTTGGGAAGGTTAGGTACTTTTTTGAATGATATCTTGAGATTTTTGCTGTAGGAATGGATTGAGACACATGATGGCAGTCCTCTGCTAGAGACATTGTACACGGCCTTGGATGAGGTGTGTTTACTTTGACAAAACATATTGATACGTGTGCTAAAAATTTGACATATAATGGTTGCAGGTTGTGAAAGTCTCTGACTGAAGTTTATAGCTACAATCCCGAGGCTGATTCAGATCCATTTCATGAAAAAGGAACCTTGTGAGATTTACATTCGTTAAATTTTGATCTTTGGTTCCCATATTGTTTTACTTCTTGGTTTGTCACTGAGTCATCATAACTAGAGGGTTAATATGTGCTTTGGAGCTTATCCTAGAGAATATTTGATACATGATTTTTGCATTTGCCTTTGCCAGCTCTTATGCAGCTTGCCTCAGTGGTAATGCTAATTGTAGTGCATCTATTTCTTCATGCACTTTTCTTTCTTTTAGGGTATATTTGGATTCAGAAAAAAAGCAATGGAAAAAACTGGTACTGAAATACATTGTTATATGGTTTACCTTGGGAAAAAGAAGGAAATCATAACAAGACTAATCATTCTTTAAGAATTCAAATATATTTGGGCCTTTAGTGTTCATATAATGATATTATTATATAAGTAAGTAAATAAAACGAGTTTGAACGAATATCTAAAGCCATTTTTTAGTATAGAAGGGGAACTTTGGCGCACCGGTTAGTCGGTTACGGTGTTGCTGTGTAATCGAGCGGTCACAGGTTCAAGTCTTGGGAGCGGCCTCTTGTCAAAATGACAAGGGAATGGTTGCTCACTTGCTCCTTTCCCCAATGAGACGCCAATGTTCACGAGACTGCCAAAAAACAAAAAAAAAACTTTCCTCTTGACTTTCTGCCTCTATTTTATTTCCCTAGAGTTTTCTGAGTTCCAAACAGACACTTAAATAATGAAGTCAAAACTTAAATAGACTATATGACGAGTCTATTACTGTCTGAACTGTAACAAGATGTAGCTCTCACCTTTAACCTTTTTAATAATATTAGATGGAGATTGATCATTGAACTGTATGGAATGGGTCAAACTTGCATAGGTGAGGCGTACCTAATTTTTGTGTGTTTTGCAGATGGGCATACCACTTCTTCTTCTACAATAGGAAGTTGAAACGCATTGTCAGCTTCCGCTTTAGCTGTGTGAGGTATGGGGTTTCCTGTTAATAGATCTTTGTTCCTAAAAAAGGCTTGTTTCAAAAGTATTTTTGTAGAAAAAGGTTTTGTTCCAAAAGTTTTTTTGTAAACAAAAAAGTCGTATCCGATCAAACAAAACTATAATAATTTATTAAATTGCCAAAAAATTTCAGAGTTTTATTTTGTTAAAGTTTTAAGTTGTACCTTTACCAAGTTGTACCTTTGTCAAAATTAGAGTACATTGTATGTGTGCATTTATGGTCACACTTTGAAGGACTATGTCATTTGTTTCAGCAACTTGGCTTCAGCCGATGGATTGAATAACCAGGAAGAAGATGGATACATATTCTTCGATGGCATGGACATGTGAAGAAGCAAGAAAGCAAGACAATGTGACGTGAAGATGTATGCATATGATGATGCTCTATAATCAGTCACTGGGAAATTGTGATTACTAATTAGGATGAATCCCGCACTTAACCAGCACTTCTGTTAATATATGTGTATGAAGATCATGAACAAATATGTGATTACTACTCGGTATTAGGTAGGTTGCAACTGGATCTTATGTATACACTATACATTACTAAGGCCACGGAGAACATGTGATGAATGACCAAGGCCGGGTATAGTTGCTTCAAATGTTAGTTCCTCCGTCCAAAAATGAACCGACAACGAAGTTAGAATCATGCGCATGGAGAGTTAAATCGATTTTAATAATTAAAATTTACATGTTTAGAAACTAAATTAAAATTTTAAAAAGTCGCCAAATTCAAAATAGAATACGGTAAAAAATGATATGCTAAATAAGTAGATAAGGTGGTAGATAAAGTGAAATTGTGCGACAAAAAAAGTTGACTAGACAAATCATTTTGGGTAAGAGACCTATGATGGTGTTTCCTGGTGAAGTTGTATTAGCCTATTAGGAGATATGTGGCTCTATACAATGCTCACATAGTCACATATGATTGATGTATTTACTTGGATTAATTCCGTAAATTGAGTGATTATTATGTGACTAGCGGATTAATCGGGTGGATTATGTGGGTGGATTGTGTGATTAGCTAGGGTTGGACTCGGGCCGGGCGGCCCGAACTGGCCCGGCCCGGTCACTGTTTGAACCGGCCCGGCCCGGCAGCCCGGCCCATGGGCGGTTCGGATCGACCCGGCCCGGTGGCTACCGGTTCCGGGCTCGGGCCTTCATTTTGGTGAACCGGCCTGGCCCGTTCGGGCCGATTTTGTTTTTTTGATTTTTTTTTTAAGTTTTTGGGTTGGATTGGGTATTTTGGGCCATTTGAGGTGGTTTGGGGTTGATTAGGAAAACCAAAAAAAAAATTATATAGACCGAACCGGCCCCGACCCCGGCCCGGCCCGGCCCGAACCGGAACCGGGATTACCCGGGCCTCCCCTACCTTGAACCGAGGCCCGGCCGGTTCAAGGCCCGAACCGGGCCCGGCCCGGAACCGGTCCCGGCCCGGAACCGGTCCACACCTATGATTAGCAGATGAACACAAATAAAATAATCCTCCCTCCGTTCTTTATCAAGGGTCTTTTTAGGCTTGTGCACGGATTTTTAGAGAAAAAATAGTAGGGATAATATAAAGTAAGTATGGTAAACATATTCACTCTTCTTAATATATTCTCTTCTTAATTTAAAAACCCAAAAATGGAGTCGTAAGACCTATTACAGTGGATCTATAAATGTGAAGATATGTGTTGGGATATTGGGTCCAGGCCCAATATCCCTAGGCCCAAATCCGGGAAGAAGCAGCAAGCGGGGCCCAAATCCGGAAAGAACTCCCGAACGGCATTCGGGATAAAACTTATACTTGGAACATTCTGGGAAACAATTATGCCAAAGCGTCAAGGCCAGATATCGACCGGTGTTCGGGATACTTCCATCAATTAGATCACCTATGGCAGAGATACCGATCGGCGTTCGGCATATGTTCATAAGCAGGATAGCACCTATGGCGGGGCCCCACACACCGAACACCCTGCCCGAGCGGGCTATCAGCAAGTGGAAGCCGCATTTAATGCTGGATCATGACGGCAGCAAGTGGGGGCGTGGGTTCTTACATGGCAGAGGTGATAGCCTACCAGATTCGACCACGTGTCCACCTTACCCATCCCCATTTTAGTATAAATACCCATGTTTAGATCATTGTAAAGGGTTAGCATTTTAATACTCAGAGCTTAGCAATAGATTTACACCTTCTATCCTTGTAATCTCATATTCATCTACCGTTCGGGTAGTCTCAGTATAATCACATATTTATTGAATATCGGTAAGCTTTTGAGTTGAGCAAATATCTCACTGTTTTATATTTTATACACATTTCAACCATACCCAATATCCCTACAATATCCAAGGCTTGTGTTGGGCTTTCGGATCTTCGAGAATAAACCTCAACAATATGTAAACATAAATTTATTTACCAAACTTAATAACTAAAACGAAATTATGATCTAATAAGATCCATTACATTGGATTACATTTTAATACTAAATGAGGTATTTAACTAAAGCATATTTTAACTTTCTTTTAAACAATTAAGAATGCTATTTGAAAGTTTATATTAAAAATTAAAAAAAATTCTAAAATATAATCAAATGAGATTTGATGAAATTATATATAGTGAGAAAATTCATAGTAACAAACATTTGGACTAAAATTTCCTACAATTATATTCATAGTAACAAATGTAGGTATGTACATACTTACCTACCTACTTATTTACCTACCTACATACTGACATACCTACTTACTTACTTAACTACCTACCTATTTGTCTGTTGTCTTACCTATATCCTTGCCTCTCTGCTTGCTTGCTTAATTACTTACACACAATGGATGAGTGGATCGGGTGTTGAGTTAGTTGAATGTTCATTCAGATCCATCATCCAATTATCATCCATAGCTTTTTGAATTTGTTTCACAAGTTGTAGTCGTACTTGTTCATAACTCATAAGTGGTTTAATCCTCCTAAGTGAGGCCCTTCTTTGTTCCAAAGTATAAGAGTTCCATTATATTTGACTGTATTAATACATTGAGGTGCAATGCTTCGCGATTAGAGATTCTTTATAAGTTCCCAATGTTTAATACTCAAAATTTGTTGAGCTTTGCGATCATTTGCCAAACCCTTCAGGCTCTTGAGTCGTTTTATAGCTTCGGTTGATTCTTTGTGTCCGTGAAATAAAGGAAACTCCATAGAATATTAAAGGTTGAAATAAAAGATAGAGTTTTTACCCCTAAATAGGACCAAATTATGATCAAAATTCCTAAATGGGAGTTAATGTTTTAATTTACCTAAATAGGACTCACTATTCCGGATCTACCCCTGCAGTAATAAAACCCCAGATCTATCCATCTTCCCCATCTTTTCTTTATCGGGAATCTTCGTTTCCGCATCGGCAAACTCCGATCCTCTCCCATGGAGTACGGAGACTCGATCTCTTCCTCGCACCACCCGGCCAGCATCTCTACAGGTAATCCCCTCCTCCTTTTTTCTCTTTCTCTTCCTACTTCTCCTTCTCCTTTATTCCTTCTCCTTCTTCCTCCTTCATCCTCCATTCCTCCTCCTCTATTCTTTACTCGTTTTGCATTATTAATATTTTCTGTTGAACTTTTTCGAATATATTTTCGATTCTCAATGGAAATTGTATTTATGGTTTGAAACTTTTGAATTCATTTATGTATGAAATTTTGAGACTCTTGTTCAAAAAATTCAGACCTAAATTTTAGAATTGTGTATCTTTATCCGCTTGTAAGAAATGCCACATTTATGGCATTTTTTTATGGAGATGTAAATATTGCATCTTTGAAATGCCAAATTTTTGGCATTTTCACAAATTGTGGTATGTTTATGGCATCGAAGTGATCTTGTCGGCAACATTGCTTCTTCTTTTTTCTTCTCCTATTTCACATTTTAGACTCTGAAATGTGAAAATGTCTTAATTTGAGATCTGAAAATTCCATATTTTTACATGTAGAAATGCCATTTTTTTTGTCATTATTATTATTATTATTATCATAATGGCAGTTTTGCCCAGAAATTGATACTATACACTCCTTAGGAGGTAGCTGTGACTAAGAAGATGCCAACATCTCTAGAGAAGAATTTAGATCTGGCTCCATTCTCGTTGTAGGAAGGGGTAAGTCGCATCACCGGAGGTGTGTAGCGGCAATCTCCGGTGGCGACAGGTGCGGCGGGGTCTCACTTGGCTGCAGCGAAGATCTGGCAGCGGCGGCTGTGCACAGCAGGTACTGAAGGTCTCTGCCGTTTCGGGTTCACGCGGGGTTCACGCGATGTGCATCGTGAATGTGAATGAGGCAGCTGGGGAAGATTTCATTAAGGGCAATATCGTCCAATCAGTTGATTTTTAGTCCTATAAAATATAAGAGTCCTATTTGTGCATTTCAACGTTGATTTTGTCCTATTTAGGGAATTACCTCAAAAAGATATCGAAAGCTTGATGATATAGATATACTCCGTATTAGAGATCGATATTTGTTGTGTCTAAGTCTAACATTACTTAATCTGTTGCTCGGACGTTGTTCTTAGCCAGATTTAATGCTTTGCCTCCATTGCTTCGCATGTGTTGATGATAAGTAATATAATTTGCTCATTTATTCTCACTTATCTGTTCTCCTTGCAATTACTTGACTTTCATTTTCTTAATTTTAAATATCTAGATACATAAATATAGTTATAATACAATGTTTCATAACAATTTGTTCCTTTCTAATGATGTTCAACCATAAATAAGTTTCACACATTATATGGGTGAACGAAACATTGATGGTCAAAAGATAAAAAATGCTACGTACTATGTAGTAATTAAGAACTTTTCTAAGTAAAATACCAATCAATAAAACTACTACATATTCGATCAAATTGAGATCATAATTTAGTAGAGCTGTAGAGATCATAAGCAAATGAAATATTCATATACTCGTTACGTAAATATTTGTATAGAATACTCTTGCAGTAGTAATTCATTGACTTCATTTACATCAATTTTCTTCTGTCTTCCTGGAGGGATGTCAAAACTCTATCATTTATATATACATGGGATTTTGTAGAGAATTGGATCCTTTTTTGCTCTTTTCCTTATAAATGTCAAAACTCTATCATTTATCTTCCTTAAATAATTATGTGCTTTAGGTGCTATCATTTTAAGACACACACAGTATGTCCTTTTTCAGTCATTTAGTTTTCGTCATTCTCGAAACTGAGTCAATGTCTCAAGGAACACATTGGTTCTAAATTATGGTTAAGTACCAATTATGTTCTTGCGAGAATGTGTTTTCAATCCATTACGTAACAGTCATAAGCCCTCCGTCGAAATTCCGTCAAAATGAAGGTGATTTGTCACTTTTTTTTTGAACAGGACCTGTCACTTTTTATACATCCAGGTCGCCTTTTTTTACGCCGTTGAGATGAAAACTATGCAAACATCTAGGACATATCTAACTTTTGAAAAAAATGAGTCTCATGCCTACATTTGAAAATGAGCACAACCACAAATATCTTTTTGTATTTATCCATATTAATTAATACCATTTGTGGGGATGTTTGGTAATCCCCACTTTCAGCATTGCAGTTTTGTCAATCATTTTTTTACAAAATACATAATTTTTTATGCCATTATTTTTATCCAAACAATTGAGATTTGAGTTAATTTT